AGTTGAAACTCTGAATAAAAAACTTAAGTCTCTCTCTGTGGGCCTTAAAAGGTCTGTTGAAGTAGAGACTCTTCTTGAGGCCAGAGTTGCTGAGCTGGAGTCAAAGCTTAGGGACTCAGAAAAGGAAGTTGCTAACCTAAGGGCAGAGAAAGACGGTCTGGCAAATGAGAGGGATTCCCTCAGAGCTGAACGGGATTCCCTGAAGACCGAACGAGATTCTCTTCATGATGAGGTTGACGTCTTAAAAACTGAGAAGAGTGTAGCTCTGACAGAAAGGGACTCTCTCAAAGCTGAAAAGGGAGACCTTCAACCCTCACTCATTGCTGAATGGTTATCGTATGCGAATTCCTAAGAAAAACTTCTGAACGAACGGTCTTCCCTGATGAACATGATCAGCAGAGTCGAAGGGGAGATGAGGGCTCTCCTTGCTCGCTTTACCAGGACCAGTGCCATACGGTATGCTGAAGGGTACAGAGACGGTTTTGTTGACCGTTCTCCCCCTAAAGGTGAATCAAGCTCTTGTGATGGTCCTGATGAACTAGATGCTTCTCTAGACATCCACCCCCCAAACAATTATCAAAATCCACCATGCGACCCAGCTGAGAACATTTTTATTGAATGCATTGAGGTCGCCTCTTCAGGAATTGTCCCACCTTTTCATCCCCTGAACATTCTTCCTCTTTCTACCATCGTGCCCTCTTCCTCTGTTGCTGCCGACAGACCTGTGCCTGCTGAGGGGGTGATTCATCTCCACTCCCCTTCTAAGGATGATGGGGCAGGTGAGAATGGAGGAAATCTCAATGGCCCAGAGGAAGATGGTGGTGAAAATGACAAGTCACAGCCTGCAGAAGATCAGAATTGATATCCAATAGCAGCAGTTTTTTTTTTTTTTTTTTATGTATGGTACTACGTACCTTGGGACCTTTTTGGTTATGAATGATAATGTTTTTGCTCAGCATCCCTTTCCTCCTTTGAGTTTTCTATCTTTAGCTTTGTAGTGTATTTTCACAAGTGATTAACGTTCGGATATATCGCCATTCTGTCCTTTTCTTACTCATTTGTGAGCAAGTGTTTGGCGTTCGGCCTGAAGTGCCAGCTGCCACTAATTTGCTGAATGCCTGGCTCTCGGCTTGAACGCCTCTTGCCACTTGGCTTCTTTTTTTTATTTTTTTAGCAAGTGTTTGGCGTTCGGCCTGAAGTACCAGCTGCCACTAACTTGCTGAATGCCTGGCGCTCGGCTTGAACGCCTCTTGCCACTTGGCTTTTTTATTTTTTATTTTTTATTTTGTTTAGCAAGTGTTTGGCGTTCGGCCTGAAGTGCCAGCTGCCACTAATTTGCTGAATGCCTGGCGCTCGGCTTAAACGCCTCTTGCCACTTGGCTTTTTTATTTTTTTAGCAAGTGTTTGGCGTTCGGCCTGAAGTGCCAGCTGCCACTAACTTGCTGAATGCCTGACGCTCGGCTTGAACGCCTCTTGCCACTTAGCTTCTTTTTTTTTTTTTTTTTTAGCAAGTGTTTGGCGTTCGGCCTGAAGTGCCAACTGCCACTAATTTGCTGAATGCCTGGCGCTCGGCTTGAACGCCTCTTGCCACTTGGCTTTTTTATTTTTTTAGCAAGTGTTTGGCGTTCGGCCTGAAGTGTCAGCTGCCACTAACTTGCTGAATGTCTGGCGCTCGGCTTGAATGCCTCTTGCCACTTGGCTTCTTTTTTTTATTTTTTAGCAAGTGTTTGGCGTTCAACCTGAAGTGCCAGCTGCCACAAATTTGCTGAATGTCTGGCGCTCGGCTTGAACGCCTCTTGCCACTTGGCTTTTTTATTTTTTTAGCAAGTGTTTGGCGTTCGGCCTGAAGTGCCAGCTGCCACTAACTTGCTGAATGCCTGGCGCTCGGCTTGAACGCCTCTTGCCACTTGGCTTCTTTTTTTTATTTTTTAGCAAGTGTTTGGCGTTCGGCCTAAAGTGCCAGCTTCCACTAACTTGCTGAATGGGAAGAGTGTAGATTTTTAACAAAGAAAAAACTTTTTATAAAGCATGGAAATTTCGTACACTTGCAAGCATGCAATTTAGAACGTACAATATGTTTGAAATTAAACTCTACTTTTACTGGTAGTACTTTTTCAGAGACATAGCATTCCATGGCTTATTGACTACCCTTCCTGTCATAGTTTCTAGGACGTACGCCCCCTTCCCTATGACTTCTGTTATTCTGTACGGACCTTCCCATGGGTAGAACATCTTTTTTACTATTCCCACCTTCCTTTTCAGAACCAGATCGCCAGGAGCGAAACCCCTGTGCCTCACCTTTTTGTTATGGCTATTCACGAGCGTCTGTTGATAAGAGGCGAGCCTCACTGCAGCCGCATCCCTTTTTTCTTCCAACAAATCAAGATTGAACCTCAGCATTCTATCATTCTGCTCTTGATCTCACACCAAGCTCCTTACAGTTAGGACCAAATGCTCGACTGGTATCACCGCCTCGGTGCCATAGGCCATAGTGAATGGGCTCTCTCCAGTTGGCCGTCTTGGGGTTGTTCTGTAAGCCCACAAGACGTTCGGTAGCTCATCTAACCATTTGCCTTTTTCATTCTCCAGCTTTTTCTTGATACAAGCAAATATTGTCCTGTTTTTTATTTCAGCTTGACCATTAGCCTAAGGATGACTGACTGCTGCTAACTTCTGATTGATTCCATATTCCTCCAGCAGCTCTCTCACTTGTTTGCTATCGAGGTTGGGTCCATTATCCATCACGATTGACCTTGGTATGCCAAAACGACAGATAATATTATTCTAGATGAAGCGTCTTACTTGAGTTTAGGTGACACTAGGGTACGGCTCTACTTCTACCCATTTGGTGAAGTAATCAGTAGCCAGCAGAATTTACTTATTTTGTGATCTTGCAGTCGGCAAAGGGCCAACCACGTCCATCCCCCATTGCGCGAAAGGCCATGGGGTGGCCATTATGTGCAGGTCTTCAGATGGTTGATGTATCAATGACCCGAACCTCTGGCATTTATCGCATCTTCTAGAGAATTCTTCTACATCTCGTGCCATGTTTGGCCAGAAGTACCCCTATGTCATTGCTTTGTGTGCTAAAGATCTTCCTCCGAAGTGATTTCCACATACTCCCTCATGAATGGTTCGCATAATCTGTCTAGCTTCTGTAGGGGTAGCACACTTCAAATATGGACCCGAGAAGGAGCGTCTATATAACTGATCGTGCACAATGGCATACTTGGCTGCGCTGGACCTAATTCTTCTTGCCTCGTCCTTATGCTCGGGGAGTGTACCACTACGTATGTAAGCCATGATTGGATCAATCCAGCTCGGCTCATATGGTATAACATTAACATGTTGAGTGCTCGGATTGGGCAGTTCTTCAAAAATGGAAGGTTGGAGCAGTATGTCGACCGGGATGACCCTAGCTAAAGTATCTCCAGAACTGGATGCACTACAAGCCAAGCGGTCGGCATCTTCGTTATACTCTCTCAACAATTGGATAAACCTGATCTGATCAAAGGCTTTCGCCTCGCGTAGAACCGCAGTACGGTATGCTTCCATAGTCTCATCCTTGGACCCATAGTCCCCACTGACTTGTCGAATGACTAGTTGTGAATCACTATAAGCCATTAGATTTTTTATCTTCAATTCTTTAGCCAACTTCAGCCCAGCTATCAATGCCTCATACTCTGCCTCATTATTGGTCGCGCTGAACTCTAGTCTTATCGCTTGGCTCAGCGTAGTTCCTTCTGGTGTTTGCAATTGAATTCCAACCCCAGCTCCCATTTGATTCGAGGAGCCTTCCACGAAAAGCTTCCACCAGGAACAATTACAATCCTCCACCGTATCTTCAGCATCACAGTTAAGTAGGAAATCCGCCACCGCTTGACCTTTGATTGCCTTTCTGGGCTCATACGCAATATCAAATGAACTCAATTCAATGGCCCACTTGGTCATTCTCCCCGACAGGTCCGGTTTGTGCAGGATCATTCTCAAAGGGAAAGTTATTAAAATGACAATTGGATGAGATTCAAAATAGTGTCCAAGCTTCCTTTTTGCGTTAACCAGCGACAAGATCATTCGTTCGGCCTAGAGTACCTTCTCTCCGGTTCAGACATCGTCTTGCTAACATAAAACACCGGGAACTGCTTGCCCTCTTTGTAAAGGATCAGAACGGCACTGGTTGCTATACTAGACACCCCGAGATATAGAAAAAGTTTCTCATTCGGTTCTGGAGCAGACAGAATCGGAGGATTACGCATGTACTCCTTCAGGCTAGTTAGTGCTTGCCGCTGCTCATCCTCCCAGGTTTGTCTTCCATGCCCTCGTATTGTATCAAAGAAAGGTTTACAGCAGTCCGAAAGCTTGGAAATAAATCGGCTCAGTGCGGCTATCCTGCCTGTGAGTGCCTGCACCTCTTGAATTGTCTTTGGCTCTACATTCCTGATCAAGGCTTCTGCCTATGCTGGGCTGACCTCAATTCCTCTATGATTGACCACATGTCCCAGGAATTGACCGGAGCTTACACCAAATGAGCATTTAGCCGGATTAAGCTTCATCCCATACTGGCGCAACACATCGAACACATCTTGCAGGTGCGCTAGATGATCGTTCTTCTTCTTACTCTTGACCACCATATCATCAATGTAAGCCTCGACAGTGCTGCCCATCTGGCCCTTAAAAATCTTGCTGATCAGCCTCTGATAAGTAGCTCCAGCGTTTTTTAATCCGAATGGCATGACTTTATAGCAATAAGTCCCTTGTTCAGTGACAAATGAAGTTTTCTCTTCATCAACTGGGTCCATAGCAATTTGGTTATAACCGAAATAAGCATCCAGGAAAGTTAACCGCTCATATCCTGTTGTGGCATCTACCATTTGATCAATCTTGGGCAATGGGAAACTATCCTTTGGGCAGGCTTTGTTTAAGTTGGTGAAGTCGATGCACACTCTCCATTTCCCATTCTTCTTCTGCACTACAACAACGTTAGAGAGCCAGGCCGGGTACTAAACTTCTTTGATGAATCCAGCTTCAAGCAGCCGATCAACCTCCTCAGCTATAATCTGGTTTCGTTCTGGAGTAAATCTTCTCTGCTTCTGCTTCACTGGCTTTGCATTCGGATCCACATTGAGGGAATGGCAGGACACAGCATGATTTATCCCTGGCATATCTGAATGGCTCCATGCGAATACATCTGCATTCCGAATCAGGAAATTAGTCAACTCTAGTCTCTCTTCTTCAGTGAGTTTGGTGCCCACCCTTGTTGTTCGGTCTGGCTTCTCATGGTCAATCTTTACTTCATGAAGGGGTTCTGTTGTTAGAACTGGTGGCTCCTCCCCCCCATCCTCGCTGGGAGAAGGGTTCTGTAATTGCTATTTTGGAATGGCGGAACGGATGGGATTTTTCCCTTTTCTAGCAGATTTCAAAGTTACTGAATAACATTCTTTAGCCGCAACCTGGTCCCCGTGTATATCTATCACCTTGGTCCCATCCGGACCCAAACATCGCATCACTTGATGTAAGCTTGACGGAACGCCCTGAAATCTGTAAATCCATCCTCTGCCCATCAAAAGGTTGTATGATGGATAAATTTCCACTACCATGAAACTTTCAGTCAAAACCCGCTCAGCGGCTTGTACTGTCAACTCCACTATTCCAATGGGTTCCACTCGCTTCCCATCAAATTCGAGCAACGGATTCCCTGTGGGTTTGAGTTTTTCGAGTTCAATCTCTAGTCGGTCGAACGTCACCCTAGGCATGACATTCGCACTACTCCCTGGATCAATCAGGACTCTCCAAACCAGGCATTCTGCAATCGTCAGACTGACGACTAGTGGATCTTCATGAGGAATCTGAACGCGTAGCAGGTCCGTTTTATCAAACTTTATCGACGCGGACGTGTTCTGCTGGTGCAAAGCGCGCACACTACCAATTCTTCTTTTCAGCTGGGCCTGGCGTAACCTCATCCTGAGCAACTCCTCTGACTCCGTCGTTTGTTCAGGCCGTCCATGAATGACGTTTATAATCCGGATGGGCTGGGAGTTGTGTTGGTTCGGCCTCTGGTTCCGCTTGATTTGTTCAGTCGGGCGGTTATGCTCTTGCGTCGGACCCTAAACATAACTTGCAAACTCCCCTTTTGCGATCAGCATTTCCACCTGCCTCCTTAGGTTCCTGCATTCGTTAGTCTGATGCCCAAAATCACTATGGAAAGCACAATGTTTAGTCTGATCCCTCTGTTCAAGAGGTTGCCTGATTGGCAGAGGAGGATGAAACTTATCTTTGTTATCCTGGTATAGCCTTGCTAAGGTGACTCTGAGTGGAGTGACTGATTCCTCCTCCCTGGGCCTCTTCTCCGCCTTCCATGAGGGGTGACATTACGGTTGAGCTTGTTTTTGCCGGATCTTGGCTTTGGACTTCTCCTCCGTCGAAATAAGTGAGGTCTTCCTTGAATTTGCTGCTTCTTCCTCCTTGAGACGAACAAAACCGTCAGCTCTCTCGTTCAACTCGTCCATTGTCTTGGGCGTATTAACCACCAAGCTGGTGTGGAATGGTGTCCCCCGGTTCATTACGAGTTTAAATGCTTAGACTGCTGTTGACGGGTGACACTTCATCACCATGCTTTTAACGAGGTTGAACCGGGTTTGAAAAGCTTGGAGCCGCTCATCCTCATGTTGCTTCATTGTAAAAAGGCTCGATACATCCTTAGCCTGACACTTATTCCCGTAATATTGGCTTATGAACTTATCACATAAGTCCTGGAAACTGGCGATTGAGCCTTGAGCCAGATTCTTGAACCAATTGAGAGCTGGTCCAGCCAAGCTCGTAGGGAAACACTTGCACATCAAAGGATCATTATTAGTATTCAAAGCCATTTTCAACTGAATATGGTATATGTGATCGACCGGATCAGTTTTTCCGTCAAACAGAATAAAGATCGGCATGGAAAACTTCTTCGGATTCGGCGCGTTCAGAATTTCATCAGTGAACGGCGATGCGACCGTCCTTGCTGAGGAACGCAGTGCTTCGTTCTCTCTTGAAAACCGTGACGGAAATCCTCGATCGGCAGATCTCCTTTTTGAGCTATGGTAATCAACTGTCGCTAATGAAGGTCAATATGGCGGATCGAATGACCTATTCTCCGCAAATTCACTCCGCCATGTTGACGCGATCCGATGTTCATACGCCAGTGCTTCCTCCCTCATAATCCGTTTGTGATGCGGTTCCAGACAAACAGATCCTTCCCGATCCTCTACTCGGCCGACATTCGGAGGCAGATTACCGATTATACCTTCATCACGATGTTGACCATCACGATTGACATCTTCTGGATCACCTTGACGATCAGCTTCGGACGGTAAAGCTCCTTCTCCTTCAGGAGGCGGCCTCAAAATTACAGGAGCCTCTCGATGCTCCATTCCAGCTCGTAACTCTACATTTTCTTTCCTCAAAGCATCGATCATGTTCATTAGCTCATCGAGCTTTGTCTGTTGGCCGTTCTCCAAAGAATTCGGGTTCGCCTCTCCGATCATCATTCCAGATCGGAGCAAAGTCATCAACTGCAGACGTCTTGATCAAATCGGAGTTCCGCTAATGCGCGCACACCAGATCTGAACTTATGCTTGCCAAATTTAGTCCACTACTGACTAGATTCAGTAACCACAACAGATCACAACCGCGCAGTTCGCCGGATCGAGCACGAATCTGATCTGCTTAGATCGGACGCCAATTTTCTGAAATCAACCGAATCTGGATTCGTCAAGACAAATCGTATTATCACCAATGTTGATTCAGCTCTCACAGATTAGTCGTCTTCCTCGCAGAATGCATTGAATCAATCCAATCTGGAATGATATCAATCAATCCTTCCCGTTCTTCCCACAGACGGCGCCAATTGAAAGTACAAAGAATTTTTCCCTAATTGTAGAGAGAGAAACTTTACACTCTCAATGATTTTTTTCAACCACTTTTCCCTCTTAATCCCTTCTATTTATAGACGGTTACAACCTCCACTGAGTTGGTCCTATCTTGTTCTCCTTTGGCTGGACTCGATTTCTCTCATTTTATCATGGGCTTCTGGTATGGCTTTATGGACCTGGGCCCATACTACGCGAACTGGCTTCATCCCGTTCGTCCAGACCCGACCCATCCTATGCAATGTGGATCACTCCAAACCCGGGTCATTTTGGTATCCTCATTTACAGTATTTGCTTTCAATTCCCTTGTGTATTTGAGGGATTTTCTATAATCGGTCCATAACTAGCTATAATTTTGATCTTTCGAAGACTATATTGCTTAGAATTTAAAAATTGCTTGACTTAAGAGTCCAATACTCCTTGTATGCCTTGTGGATGCCATTCAGGAGTAGATTTTTTTTGAAAGATTGATATCTTGCTTGCACTTGTGGTCTACATCATCCTGATTTTGTGATTGTTTTGAGATTCACTCTAGGATTCTACACTAGCATAGGCACACACTAGCATTCATTTATGGGTATATGCTTTGTTGATTATTGAATTGGTTATATCCCAATTGAGCTAGTAGTTCATTGAAAGCTTTCATCTTGATAAAAGTGAATAACAAACCCTTTTCATTGAGTAGCTGGGATTCTAGCCTCATCAAGCACTGAATTTCTTGCGCCAAAAGGTGGAGCGCCCAAACTCTAGGTTAATAATTGAATTTGCTCCCAAAAAAAAAAAAATGTTACAAAAGCAAATAAAAAAAAAAAGTGAGGACTTTTCCCAAAAAGTGAGAAGTGGGAAATGATTAGATGGAGATTGTCTTGATTTGTAGCCTAGTTGATTTGAGCTTCTAAGTCCTTAGGGGTGTTTAAACACCTAGTGCCCGAAAGCCGTCTGGTTTGGGAGTCATTGACCTAACACTCGACCACATGGATCGCTAGAAAGCTTAATAGATCAATACATTGCACCATGCTTCCATCTTTGATCCTTAGGATTGCTAAAAAAAAAAAAAAAAAATCAAGTGAAAAGAATAAGCGTACCTAGATCAATAAAGCTTTAATAAAAGGTCCACTTTTTGTCTTGATGATTCATACTAGATTTGTGTGCTAGTTTGAGGGTAAGGATGTGATCATTTCTTTAGTTGGCTTAGATAGCAATATATTTGATACCGGTCCACTTAAAAAGGATTCTAGAGTTGTTTTAATTTGTATGATCATTTTCTTGATGTGTGGAGGACCATTCTTGCTTGCTTGATGTTGAAATTTTGGGAGATTGCTTGGAAATAGTTAAAAAATTGCATAATTGAGGTAGTTTTCTCCCAATGTTTGTTTGCAATATTGGTGCCTCTTTTGTGAGAATGAGCTTAATGTTTGTGGGTAGCATTTCTGGAAACCCTCACGAGACTTCACTCGTCCACTAGGGGTAACCTAGGGGTTTAAAAGGCTTGTTATATATACTAAATGCAACCGTGTTCCCTACGAAAGTGGCGTTATCCATTTATTGCTTTCTAGTTCATAGTTGTATAGTTATTCATTTCATTCCTTTACTTTGTAGTTCATTGCTAGGGACTAGCAATATTTAAGTTTGGGGGTGTGATGAGCGTTGAAAAATGCGCATTTAAACCCCTTAAGCTAAGGTATTCTAGGACCTTTATCTATCTTAGTTTTTCGTTTTAGACTAATTTCGTGTTATTACCCTTTCCAGGTGCTTATCCCAAAAATAAGTCAATTCAGCCAAATAAGAGCATTAAAGAAGTTAACTCAAGCTGAATGGAAGAAAGGAGCAAAGTGGGAGCAAAATGAAGCAAAGTCTGGAAATTCAGCGTGTTTGATCGATCTCAGCATTTCTTCGATCGATCGAAAGTTCATTGATCTAAACAATTCAAGATGGATCCAAGCCCCTGTCCTTATCCAAAAGAATCCACAAGTTCGATCGATCCAACATTTTCCAGATTGATCAAAATGATTCGATCTTATCCACACCTACCACCGACCTACCACTTTTGTCTTCTTCCCAAAAATATCTCAGAGATTTGTCTTTATTCAAAAAGGTGCCGCAACGATCTCTGTAGCATTCGATGGATCTCAGCCATATTCGATCGATCTCACCACAATTCGATTGATCGAACTTCCTCAAGTCCGAAAAAAAATAGATTCCAGCTCATTAAAAGTTGGCTCATGGTGCAATCATTGGAGGGACCTTGGTGTACGAGCCCAGACCATTGGGTGTGACATTTAACCTACCTATATAAGGATTTTGAGCCATTTTTACATCATAACTTGTAACATTCAACATATTTCTTATCTTGGAGAGGAGGCTAGAGATTAGAGAGCTTTACACATTTTGGGAGTTCTTCCATTCTTCTAGGGTTTCCATCAAGAAGGAGGTCATTCCTACCATGGAGATAGCCTTTGAGGGTTGGATGAATACTTCAATGAGTGGCTAGACATCTACTTCGGGCTAGAGTAGCCCCTAAGTTTGCTTCCTAAACTTAGTTCTTTGTATATTTTTGGGGATTTATTTGTAACAATGTTTTGATCTTGGATTTATATATATATCTTGTGGTTTTTACTTGATGTGTATAGATTAATGCTTTCAATTGATTATCTACTTCTAACCATATATCTATGTATGCTAGAATGGATGATTCATGTGCTTTTCTCTAGATTTAATGGAATTTATGCATATCTATGTATATAGATGAAGTTAATCTAGAGATGGTCAAAACATAAAGTTTAATTGAACACTCTTGCAATTTATTTGATGGTTCACACTTGTTTCTTGATGGATTGTGCCATAACTTTAGCTTACTTAGTTAAATTTCATGTGTTTAGTGTAGATGTAGTGTAGTTGTTTTAATTTATAGATAGGTGGACAATCTACTCTTGTTCCTTGGTGTTCTATACTTATGAATGCATTAGGTATATGTTTCTAGATAGTTGTGTGTGCATAAATTGTAGTTTCATTGAATGGATTTTGGTCTTATTTGATAGGCTGTGCTTTCCATT